CCAGGAAAGGCGCAAAGCTACACAGAGAAACCCTGTCTCGAAAAACCAAAAAAAGAAAAAAAAAAAAAAAAAAAAAAAAAGGAGTGTAACTTTGGGCAAGTCTCTTGCCTTTATAAAATGAGGTTACCTAAACATGTTGTGGCTCCACCTCTTTACAGGTCACATTAGAGAGAATTCTACATTTTACCCGAAAAGACAACCCAGATAAAACGTTGCAATGAGGTACAGAGGGATTGCTCAGTGGTTAATGGCACTGGCTGTTCATCCAGAGGACCTGGGTTCAATTCCCAGCACCCACATGGTGGCTCACAACCATCTATGACTGTAGTTCCATGGGATCCAGTGTTCTCTTAAAGTGTGCAAATGTACATACATACAAACACACACACACACACACACACACACACATATACTTATATATAAAGTACATGAATAAATACATCTTTTCTGAAAGTCTTGCAGTGATGTAGTGTTTCTTTCCTATAGATTTCCAACTATTTCAATCAAAATACTCAAGGAATTGGCAGCGTGCTCTCCAAGGTGAGTGCTCAAGTTCTGCTCCTCACTGAAGTCACTTCTAGGAGACTCTTGGGTTTTCTACATTCTCTTTTGATTCAAGCATAAGTTAATCCATCTTTCTGTTCTTTTTTATTTCTTTTCCATTCTCTCTTCCTTTCCTGCTTCTCTTTTCTTCCTCCTCTCTCTTCCTCCTCCTCCTCTTTCATTTCTTGACAATGTTTCAATATGTAAAATGGGTAAACTGGCAATCCTCCTGTCTCAGCCTCCCATGTACTGGGATTAAAGGTATATACCATCATACTTAGCCATCTTTCCATCCTACAAGATTTTTTCTTCCTAATTAAATATGCAGAAATATTTCCTAAATAAAGCCCATTAAAATATAACTAAAAGTATTGTAAGTTCATAAAAAAATCAATCTGGAAAGTTCCACCACCTTAAAATAATTTACTTAAGTATAGAAATTACTGGTTTGAACAGAAGATTTAATCCTTACGTTACTTACTACTTTATTTATTTGTTTGGTTAGTTAGTTATTTAGTTATAGGTAAGGTCTCACTATGTAGTGCAGGCTGGTCTGGAACTCAATGTTTAACCCAGGCTGGTCTTTAATTTTTGATCCTCTTCAGTCATTTTTCCAAGTACTGGGATTACACGTGACCTTAGTAAAACAACTATTAATATCACCCCTTCCGAGCATTCCAGGTATCATCCACAGTGGGCCAACAGGCTCCAGTTTGCCTTAGAAGACCAAGATGCTTCAGAGAAAGGCACTCTGTGGTGGTAATCTAATTGTACTGAATTATTATTTTGATTGTATGTTAAT